CTTTATGGAATACTATTCAGTCAAAAAAAAAAAAAAAAACCTGACAGGACCCTAGCTTTTTATAGAAAGTGGATGAATATGGAAGAATTATTGCTGAGTGAAGCAAGCCAGGCTATGAAGGAGAGACATTGTATGTCTCCACTTAATATATACTGACTGTCCACACTCTATGGCTGAAACTGAAAGAGTAGAGGATATAGAAACATAGAAAACGGTTATAGATACCAGATACAGTGTAGGAAGACGGTGGGAGAAGGAGGAGAGTGTGAGGAAAGAAATTAAGGAGAAAACAGAGAGGCAAGACATTTATGGGACACAGAAATGAGTTATTACGTGTTGATGATAATGTGTATCATATTCCCAAATGGACTGGTGAGAAATGTATTCATGTTGGAACATTCTCTGTAAAAGATAAGTGAAGGATATGATTGAATTTATAAAACAGATTAAAATAAAATAAAATATATAAAAAAACTAAAAAAAATTAAAAATAAATTTTAAAAGTTTCTGGAAACAACAACAAAACAAAACAATTCAAGAGAGACACAGTTCTCTCTACCCCAATGGGAACTGATCACATCACAATCTTTTCCCCTTTTTTTCCATGCCATCAGGCCTCTGGGCCCAGGACCCAGCGTGTTTTTCAGGGCATCAGGCCTGGGATTTGAACTGAGGTTGACATGTGGGGTCAAGCTATCCCATAGACAGCACTTAACTTTTGTACCCTGGAACTGGCCATCACTTTTACTGACATGTGGTGGCTTTTGACTTTCTATTTAGGCAGTGTCTGTGTTATCATGGAGCTCCTCTCGCTCCTCTCAACAGCTCCCCTCCAGGTCAGTGGAGTATCTGAGTTCATCTTATTGGATTTCTTTCTTTCTTTTTTCTTTTTTAAAGAGATTTTTTTGCTATAGGGTGCATGTGCTTGCTGGAGAGACAGAGAGAGAGAGAGACGGAGAGACAGAAAGTGAGAAATCACCCCCACCCTCCATGGAGAATGAAGAATGGCCATGCTGGAATCCCTTCTCCTCTGTACTCCTCTCAGGATCTTAGGTATGCACACACATGCACCCGGTGTGAGTTTAAGCCACCAGGTCCAGGATGCGAACCACAGTCTACTATGTGGGAGTCCAGCAATGTAACCATTACGCCATCTGTTGGTCCCCCTTATTGTATTTCTTATTGATCCTGAATGAATCATAAGGAGGACAGGAGTGAGGAGAAGGTCAGGAATTGGTGGCATAGGTGGTGGCCAGGAAGTGGGTCTTCTTCTCTGCCAGCACTCCCTAGCCCTGAGGAGGGATTTCCCCGCTGTCACAGAGGCTGAAGGAGGTGCATCTATGGGCCCTGTTCTACTCATTCCAACCCTCTTGTGCATTTTTCTTTCACAGATCTTCACTCTCTTTGCTATGACTTCACTGTCATTTTTAAGCCCGTAATTCAGCAATGGTCATGTGAGGTTCAAGGCAAGGTGGATGAAAAGTCTTTCCTTTACTACAACTGTGACATTAAGGAGGTCAAACCCTCTGGTCTCCTGGGGAAGGAAATACAACGCACAAACACCTGGGAAGAACAGAATGAAATGCTGATGGACGTGATCGATGTCTTCAAACAGCAACTGCCTGAAGTTGAACCAAAGAATTACACGATCAGAGGTTAGTGTGAAAAGGCCCAGGGCGGTAGAGTGCAGATTATCTGGGGCAGGGACTTTGTTTTCATGAATAATAGTGAAAGTTGGTGTTACCCAAACAGTAAGGACAGATCTTCTAGGACAGAGCAGGGCCAAGAGGTAGGAAGGGATATGATAGGAGTAAGATACTGGGCGGGATGAGAACTTGTCTATATGAGTGACCGAGCTCTTTCTGATGGGGGCAGGTCCCCTCACCCTGCAGGGGAGGATGTCCTGTCAGTGTGAAGCTAATGGACTCTCCAATGGATCTTGGCGCTTCAGCTTCAATGGACAAATATTCCTCCTCTTCGACTCCAAGAAAAGAAAGTGGACAGTGGTTCATTCTGGAGCCAGATTGATGGAGAAGACTTGGGTGAATGACAGGGATGTGACTGAGTTCTTCAGGAAGATCTCAGTCGGAGACTGCAGGAGGTGGCTTGAGAATTTCTTGGTGCACTGGGATAAAATGCTGGAGACAACAGGTAATTGAAGTGGGGAAAGAAATGGTAACTCATGAGGTGAGACCTACCTACCCCTGTCCATGTATGTGCTTGTGTGTGTGTGTTTGTTTGTATAAATGACCCATCTAAGGTGAGTTCTTGTTTGGAGAACAATGGCAGTTTGTATGGTCTACCATAGTCTTTTTCTCTTTCATCACCTGCCAGCTCTTTCTTACTGTGCATACATTCACTGTGGATTTCTTCCTGACCCTCAGGTATGGACTTTATCATGTTTTCAGACCTTAACCTCTAACTGTTCCTTCTTGCTAGAATCTTTTTGTTTGTTTGTTTCCTTTCATGTCATTTGGTCTGTTTCTGGAAATTATGAAATACCATCTATTTTTTGTTGTTGTTTTATTTGCGTGTGTGTATATTTTTGTTTGTTTGTATATTTTGTTACAGGGTCCATGTGCTCCCCAGAGAGAGGCAGACACAGAGAAAGGGAAAGTGAGAAATCAGCCCCAGAGAAAAGGCCACGCTGTAATCTTTTCTCCTCCATTCTCCTCTTGAATTTTGGGCCACTCATGCACATGTGCCCAGGGTAATCTTCAAGTCACTGAGTCCGAGATTTGAACTGTTGCCAGTCGTGTGGTAGTCTAGCGCCTTAACTATACCACCGAATGGTCCCTTCCTACTTTTTTCTTTAATGGCCAGAGGGTGCATGAGAAGCAGAAGAGAGAGAGAAAGAGAAACAGAGAACTCTCCAAAGGGACATGGTCATGTCACAATCGTTTCTCCATTTCTCCATCTTGTTGGGATTTTGATCAGGCAAACACATGTGTTTTTAAGCTGCTTGGGCTGGGATTTGAATGATGGTCGACCACATGGGATCTATCTCCCTTAACCACCAGGCTGGCCTTCTAACAAAGCACTTCTGTATTAGTTCCTGAGAAGCATTCCTTACCACTGTCTTCCTGGTCACTCCTTCATCTGGTTCAGCCACAGTGCCAAGTTATATTGTCATTCTTGCTTCGCTCATCGCTGTATGAGCTACTGGAGGACAGGACCCATCCCCTCTCTGTCTTCCTGTCCCAGGGCTACCCCAGCAGCTGCCACATACAGAGGGTGGAAAATATCTACCCTGGTGGATGGATGCCAGGGCCGCAGGAGCAGAGGAGTCATCTCAGATCTGTGGTCCTGACCATGGCTGTCACTCTTGAGTTTCCATTTCAGGACCACCAACCGTAGTCCCAAATGCATTCCACGCCAAGGCTACGACCATCGGGCCCAGACTCTGGACCCTTCTTGTGATCCTCACCATCTCTGTCCTACTTGGAACCTGAGGAAGAGTCCTTTAGAGAGTGACAGGTACAGTGGGCAGAATTAGGAGGGAAGCTGGGGCCAGTGAGGGAGGTGTGAGGAAAGAGGAGAATTCCCAGAGTCTCACCCTGCCCCACCAACTGGACCTTCTCATCCTGGAAATGAGACACATGGATGATGTCCTCATGGCAATAACTTGGGCAAGTCAGCCCTGAATTCTGATATATGCTGGATGTCCAAGGTCAATGGGCCATTTTCAACAAGTTGCACCAGTAGGTTTATGCCTGTTGATGCTCAGAGGGTTTATAAAACCATCATGTTTCAGGCCAGGGTCCTATTTGGGAAGAGCACAGCAGTGTGTGGTGTAGAGCTAGCCAGAACACAAGGCAGGACAGTGTTCAGAGCTGGGGAAGGCAGCACATGGTAGCTTCACATAATGCACCATCAGTGAGGGCATCTGTGCACAAGGATGCAGGGTGAGGAGCCGGGATCTAATCCCAGGAAGAGGAAGTAAAAAGACCTTTGCACACCCAACTCATAAGGTTGGATTTCAGGGCTACATTCTCATGGAGAGTGGTTTGGGTTGGAGCAGTTAAGGCAGAAGGTGACAGCAGAAACTGTCCAGGCAGAGACTATAAGGAGGCAGCTCTCTCTAGATCCCTGGGAATCCAGACTCAACCCTGGAGCAGTGCTCTGGCAGCCAACCTTCTGCAGATCCTGGATCCTGAGCCAGCTGAGTGGCCCTGCCTTGAGCAGAGATGATTCCAGGGATAGATGGGGGCTGAGCCAGCCAGGAATGAGTGGGTCAGGACTGGGACAGTCACACTCAGAGCTACGGGTGCTGCTCCCAGGGGAGCAGAGGCTGAGAGAGAGGGGGAAGAAGGATGTTTGCCAGCCATCCTTTGCAAGGCTCTGGAGCCAGGATCCCTTTAGACAGAACTGCCCTGGCCCTTCAGGCCTCCCCATCAGATGGGGTATCAGCCCCTGTGGAAGGGAGCAGACTCACCATGAGCAGCTCCAGTTCTGAGCCACCACAGTATTTAGCAGGGTCTGGGGCTGAGTTTGTAACGAGGTAAAGGAGACAGGGGGTTGATACAGGCTGTGGAGCCAGGGGTAGGAAAATGTAGAGCCGTGACCTTTATTGAGAGCATGTTTGAAATGACTCAGGATTTTTCAGGTACTTGGACCAACATGTGTTTCTTTTCTGAAGGCTGAAGTCGCTTCCAAGAAGACCCTAAATATGTGATCAATTGGAACCTCTTCTGGTTGACTGCCTTTCCACTATCTACCTTTCCATTTCTTCTTGTGACTACTAGGAGTTTTAAACCTTCAAGCAAATTGAGAGGCCTTCAGCTGATTGTGAAGCTACCCTACATTTAATATCTTATGCCCTTTTTCCACCTGGTGATGATCTTTTAGGCATTTCCTTTTTAAAATATTTTTTTCATGTGAGCATGTGCTCACCAGAGAGACAGAGAAAAGATAAATGAAATATCACCCTCAGAGGGGATGCCCACATTGCATTCCCTTCTCTATTCTCCTATGAGGTTTTGGGCACGTACACACATGTGACCAGCGTGATTTTCAAACTGCCAGGCCTGGTGCTCAAACCATGGTCAGCGATTTGGATTCTAGCGCCCTAACCTATGTGTTCAGCATCCACCTGTGTGGCCTTACATTCATGGCTGCATTCACCTCCTCCGTGGTGGCATACGTGACAAACCCAAAGCCACCAGAATGCCTGGTGTTTGGATCTCGCATAACCACACAGTCCCTCATTGTTCCCAATTGCTCAGCATGGTGGGTTCAAAGCTCAACTGTTTGATGAAGAGCTTCTACAGTTGTTCCAGCTTTTTAGGAAACTCTGACTTAGACACGACAGGAGTGTGAAGAGAGACTTCAACGATGCTTTCCCAGCGGTGTCCGTCGGCATAAAGGAGTAAGCTAACAAATGTATCTGAAATAATCCAACTTTTCAGGGACTACTAGACACGGGTTTTGAACTGACACTGACTATGGCCCACCAATTAGGTTGAAGGAAGTCAGGTGATCAGTGGGGTTTGAGCTCAGGTCCAGCTCACTGTGGTTATTCTCCCAGTCCCAGAATGCATAACTGGAATCATCATACTTACCAGCTGGTTCCCTCATTGGTTCCCCTGTCTTTGAACTCGGGCTGTTAGGGTAGGAAAGGCCAAGTGAAAGCCACTCAAACTACCTCCACCGAGGGAAAGGATAAATCAAAAGCAGTGCTACGTTCCTGGAGGGATTGTAGAGATACGTGCCACCATCAGGGGCTTAAAAGACACAGGGTGGTGATTTCCAGCACGTCTTCATTCAGCTCTCCTATTTGCCCAGATGGATGGATCCTGACAACGATGAAATATCACATCCAGAACCACGGTCTGACTCCAGTTGCAGCTGCTGTAACAGATGTAATCTCATTGTTTTAGCAAACTGTCACCTGGTGATACGATCCTTTGATATCCAGTATACAAATATTAATCTGGTTAATGTCTTTTTCCATCTCTACCATCAAGGCCCATGAGAAGTAGTTACTTTCAGCTGGCAAAGTCAGAAACTCACCTTCACTGTCCTACTTTAGGGGTGTGTCAACTCTCCAGGCCTATATTGTAATTGAGTTTGCGAGACCTTGATTATCTTTCCCTTCTGTAAGATACCCTGCAGGTCCATTGTATCAATGGCCTTATGCTTACTGGTTCTAGCAAGTGAGAAGCACAGCTACTTTACACTCATTAGTAAGACACCTGAGTGTCAGGTGCTAGGCAATACAATTCGACAAAATTCCAGGGGTCTTCTACCTCAGTGGAATTTCTAGGAATCCAGTGGTCTGAGGAAGGACAAGATATCCTTTCTGGAGTGAAGGCTACAGTGTTACATCTAATCCCTCCGACAACCAAAGAAAACAGGCACAATGCCCAGTTGGCCTCTTTGGATCTTAGAGATTCCTCACTGACTGTGTTCCTCTGGTTCATTTATTGAGTGACCTGAAAAGCTGCTAATTGGACTGCAAGGAGAATCAGGAAGAACTTTACAAAAGAAAAGCTACCTTGCAACTGTCATCTCCTCTAGAAATGGCGAGGGTGCTCCATAACAGCCAGTCTGTTTTCCTATCTTGCAGGATTTTGCTTTGGTTAAGAGGGCCATCAATCTCAAAGCTTTTCAGCTGCAGAATCTTCAGGTTCTGAGGAGTCTCATGCAGCCCCTGTACCTCCAGACATATGCTCTTGAACAGTGTGGCCTGATAAACTATGGTACCATTTAGACCTCAGTATCAGAGGTCAGCTTCCTGGGAACATGGATTTTGATTGTCACCTCTGTGGGTCAGCTTCATAGAAGAAAAGGCAGATTCATAAAACTTTGCCTGATGTTCTAGCAGAACCTGTATCAAGCGAAAGACATGAGTTTGTGATGGTACAATATATGAGTGAATTTTAGGTAACGATGCACCTGTTGAACATAAAGGTTAACAGTGCAGAAACTTATTTTGTAAGTGCCAGTGTAGAGTACGCAGTCTCAACATGGCCAGAGTTGCTGCGAAGAGATTTTGAATCACTTTTTCCAAGAGTGGCTAAAAGGAAACTGATGATTCTGACTGGAACACAGAAAACTAAGAGTGATAGGACTATGTGGAGCAAAGAGGTAAACATTGGAAGAGAAATGCTCTTAGAAAAGGTTATCAATGGTGCTAAGAAAATTTGCTATGCCCTTTGAGCCGAAGGTAATTGGATTGAATTAACTGACTCATCATCTGGCTTGGCATTTTTTGGATCATATACAAACATTTCTTTTTGAAATAGATAAATTCTACCAGTATTAAGGATTCTCTATTGATATCCTGGCTGTCATGAAATAAGATACTTCCTACCCATGTGGTTGTAGGAAGTATCTTCACTAATGCAATACCAGAAAGCCATATTAGAAATAGATTAGGTGGGAACTGGCAGTAATGTCAATTTATTTGCTATACTATTTATATGTAGCATTTGGTTGCTCTATAACTGTCAAAGACTTCTGTGTAGCACTGGCAAATGATTTGGGTTTTTTAAATTGTCAATGTTCTTATTGCCATTGAACACAGGTTGAGCACATCCACGTTGTATGGAATGTGGTCATTATCATGTAACCAGGTAAATTCTCTTACTGTACTTCCTCCCCTTTATTGGAAAAACTTGTTCTAATATTTTTTTCTCCAAAAACAAATAAAAAATAAATTTGGTTATGGGGGAAAAATAAGCTGCAAATTTTGAGTGGGGCCCACAATAAGAGAAGGTTCTACAACAGGTCCAGGCTGCTGCCCTGTTGCTCTGCCCCTTAGAGCACATGATCTGGTAGACTCAATGGTACTGAAGTGTCTGGAACAGACAGGGAGGTGGTTTTGAGCCTTTGACAAACCCTTCTGGGTGAATATCTGTAAGTTTTTAGGGTTTAGAGCTGAGCCCTGCTACCATCCACAGAGAACTATTCTACTTCTGAGAAACAGCTCTTGGTCTGCTACTGGGCCTTAGCAAAGAATGAGTGCTTGACCAGGGACCACCAAGTTACATGTGGCCTGAGCTGCCCATCAGAAATTGCCCTCTAACCCAAGGAGCCATAAAAGTGGGCGTGTACAGCAACACTCAATCATCGAATGAAAGCGGTATGCCTGTGATAAGGAGGGGCAGCTTCTGAGGCACAAGGAAGTCATATGGAGAAGTGGCCCCAGTGCCCAAGGTCCCCGCCACACCACCTTCTCTCTTCCAGCCAGCACCTGTGGCCTCGTGGAGTTTCTTGCAACAAGGTGACAGACTAAGAGTAAACTTAAGCCTGGTGTTTAGTTAGTTCTGTCAGGTATGTGGGCCCCCTGCAAGTGGACACCTGCAGTGCTATAATCCTCTCTGGGGGAGTCCCTGAAGGACAGTGGTGGCAGGAGGTCCTCCCAGTGAGTAGAACTGGGACCACAACACCTGTTGTTCCCTGTGCTTGGATGAGTAAATGGCCAGATATGTAATTATATACCAATTCATGGCTGTGGCCAGTGATTTGAGTGGATGTTCAGGGATTTGGAAGGGGTATGGTTGGAAAATTGGTGGTAAGGAATCTGTGGAAGCAGTTTCTGGATAGACCTGTCTGAGTGGTAAGGGTATTTGTGTCCCACGTGAATGCTCGGTAGAGGAGGACTGTTACCAGAGAGGTGACTCATTCAGTGGATACCTACCAGCCCCTTCCCTCAGCCATGCCTGTCCTGTATGTGGGCTCATGAATGCGGTGGCCATGGTGGCAGGGATAAGGCTGTACATGGGCTCAGCAACTTGGACTTCCACTCACCAGTTGATCTGGCTATGGCCCTGGCTAAGTGCCTAACTATATAAAGCCTGCTCACAATGGCCTCTCTTATGTCAAGCACCACACCAACAGCTTTCTGGGATGTTCATAAACAACCTTCCCGAACCACTCAGATAAACTACTATTGCCACGAGTCATGATAAACCAAACTGGTCACAATTAACAGTAAGACTATATGGTCACGATAAGACCCTTCTCAGAGAGGCGTATAAACCTGGCTCCCAGACAGCTCAATGCCATCCAGTGTGTGACCCAGAGCAGCAGCTGTGCTTGAGCACCTCCCATAGCAGCTCACGTCTCTGAGGCTGGATCACTGACACTCTCCTTATGGAATCAGACAGGCCTAGGGCTCCTGCGTGTCCAAAGGATACTTGGCTGCAGACCTGTGCTGTGCCATATTGCTGGAGAACTTCCTGTGAAAGTCCTCATCTCACAAAAGACATTTCAGTGAGGCTCCGGATAGACTCTCAGGGTAGAGCCCCTTCCTGTGTGGTGCAGGGACTGACCTTGAGCAAGTGTGGAAGGCCGCGTATTAGATCTTGCATGCGAACAACTATTCGTCCACTTTGTTCCCTTACCCTAACATGGCTGTCTGCTTCTGTAAACCTGCTTGCTCTTCCCATGAGAAAATAGCTCTGCTCCGTGTTCCGCTGCCTTTCCGGGGCTGGCGTGTGGCCTCCAGGCCTGCATGTGGCCTCCGGGCCTGCGCGTGGCTGCCGGGCCTGCGCCTATGCGTGGCCGCCGGGCCTGCACCTGGCCCCCGGGGCTGTGCCTGTGCGTGGTCACCGGGCCTAAGCGTGGCCGCTGGGCCTGCGTGTGGCTGCCGGGCCTGTGCCTGCGCGTGGTCGCTGGGCCTGAGCGTGACCGCCGGGCCTGAGCCTGTGCGTGGCTGCCGGGCCTGCACATGGCCGCCAGGCCTGCGCGTGGCCCCTGGGCCTGCGCGTGGCCGCTTGGTGCAGGCGGCAAACTGAAGCCGAAAACAAGGATTAAGAACTTGCAACTATAAGCAACAGAAAGAAACTTTAGCTGTCTTAAACCAATTGAGAAATACATTGTATAGCAGGATTTTCTCTACCTATGGACAGTGAGAAGATGATGGTTACCAGCCCTGCATTACCTCAGGGAAA